TTTTTAAATGAAAGCTCTAAGCAGCCAGTTGTTTGAGTTTTAAAGATATGAAAAGCTCCTTCCGGATGTAATAAAGTGCATCATTAAAACATTGCTCTGTTATAGCTGCAACATTTACTGTTATGGTTACAGAAAAGCGCTGTTACATTATGACCCGCCTCCTGCGCTGTGATTGGTCCGTTCTGTTTTAGACTGTAGAACATTGAGTCTTATCAGACTGATCTATGATGCTAATATAATAACATTTCTTATTATATTACACATTATGTCCTGCTGTATTTATTTATGTCCTGCTTTCTGCCCAGAAGTCTCAATATATCATTTAAACTATCAGTTTAACTTATCCAACTGAGTGGGCGGGATTAGGTCGACTTATATAAAGACTGACGTCTGATTGGCTGCTTCATACGGACCATGAACAGAAATCTTCTTACTTTGACTCTGAAAATAAGTTTTTACCAAAAGTTCCTCTATGTCCTACACTGGAACTCTTCTCTTAAAATAACTACATTTGTTCTTAAATTGAGGACGTAAAAGAAACATTTTGCCAATAGCAGAAGAAAATTTACATTTAAAAAAAGTAAACACAGTTGCATTGTTTTATTTCAAGTGCATATTATCTAATTATATTATTTTAAGAGTAAAAATATTAATTCAATTGGCAAACTATCTCATTTACCTACTGAAATTAAGGATAAATACACTTGATTTAAGACATTTTTACTTATTTCTACATCGTTTTTCCCAGTTTTAGTTTGGTCTGAAATATTTTAAACTCGCTGTGAGTGGGCGGGGCTAATATCAATGCTTTCTAAAGGGCCTTCAGCTCTCATGAATCCAGAGATCTCAGATCAAGCTAGAGATTTAGATCTAAAAGATGTTTGTGTTCAAGAAAATTCATCACACTAGAAAAACGATCTAGAAATAAGTAAGAATGTCTTAAATTGAGTGTATTTACCCTTAATTTGAGCAGGTAAATGAGTTTGCTAATGGAATGAGATGTTTTACTATTAAAATAAGATATTTAGATAATATGCACTCTAAATAAGACAATCCAGTTGTCTTTTCTTATTTTAATTGTAATTAAATAAGTAACTCATCAATCCAACAACAAATGCATATATTTTAAGAAAAAAATGACTTATGTAGATGTGAGTTTTTTCCAGTGCAGCGGTTCTGTCAGAACTGTCGGTGTCGGTCCTGCATATATTGGATCTGATGTTTTGTATTCTGTGTGTGACTCTATAATGACTTTCATGGTTGCGGTAATGCTAACGGTGTGGGTTTATTTTTACGTTGCTGCGTCTCTCTCTCTCTCTGTGTGTGTGTGTGTGTCGCCTCCCTGCAATCAGCGCCGCTCAGTTTAAACACTGAACTGGAGCCGATGCGAGGAATTTCTGCACATCTGGCGAACACATGTGGGAGCTGGGAACTTAATGAGTGCGTGCTCTGGGCCGCCGCCCTTCAGAGTGAAAGAAGAGAGCAACTCTGCAGGTGGATGAATCATTACTGCTACTTCTGCTGTGGGCCCCCACAGGAAGGGCCCTAATGACTGCCACAGAGAAACTTTTATTCCTGGGGTCCCTTTGACGTCTCTGTCTGCATACAGTCCTGGACCGGTTTCTAGTCCCTCACAGGACAGCATAGACACAAAGGCAAACACCCACCACTAAACACAGTGTACACACCAGCTGACCAGGTGATGCTTAATGAGGCATCCTGAAGCCAAACTGTACTGATGCTGC